CACTTATGTCTTCTTTCTCATCCTGAACAACCTCAACATGAAGAGGTATATGTGTAATAAACTAGTTAACATTGCTTTACAAAAACAAAGACATTGTTTATGTTGATAAAATCTGATTCCTCTATCAGTCATGTCATACCAATAACATTTGAATAAAAACACTTTATTCTGCTCGTTATGATATTGTAATTTGATGACCTCTTCTAATCTAACATAGTAATCAACTTCTAATTCATTACTAATGGATCCCTTAATACAAACACTATTGATATATGTCTTTCTTCCATGCCTGTATTCTTCATTATGGGAAACATATCCATTGACAAAATACCCGTTGTAGCACTTAACTTTTATTTCAGGTCCCAAGCTTAATGAAGATAATGACTTAAGTGCACTCCTTCCCATTTGATAAACCTTGTATGTAACGTACATCAATAAACAGTAAATGAACAAGAATCTTGTAATGACATACATACGTAAAGTAATTTTGCAAGTTAGAATGAGTTTGTGATAGTGTTTACATGTGTTCTGAACCATGTGACAAATTGTTCATCTTGTAATTGAAAGATCTGGGATTCGATCAACTATAAGTTATTGAAGAGAAAATATTATCAATGTTGCTTGCAAGTGATAATGAGTGTATGATATTATAATATATAATTAATAGTATATTACTGATAAAGTTTAATTAGTATTACACATATATAAACTTACTAAATAAAAAGTCTCAGCTCATCATAGTTAAATAGAACATAGTTGTGTGCTTGTTTGAACTCTATTTTTGACAAATATCTTTCTCTTATGATATTTTTAGGTATAGGTCATTCAGTATTAGAGAATATTGATAAGTTCCCACTAAAGGCACCTCACCACCATCATCATGTCGTGGAATGCGATTGATTCTCGTTCTCAAATGAGGTTTAAAATAGTACGAGATAAATATTAAGATCTCCTCAACAATATAGGGCTCACTTATCGAAGCCTCAATATATGCCTTGTTCTTAAACTTTTTCTTGAGATTAAACAAGTACCTGCATTGAATTAATCAAGTATTTTTAATTAAGGAAAACATAGAAATACTTTTATATATGAATTACATTACAACTATAATATCTAATCATTCAAATGGATACATCTATTTATACTAGACCAGTCCTTCAACTTTTGCCTCGAACAATAAATGTATAGGGAAATGCTTTATTGAGTCAAAAAATGATGGAGGGAATATCATCTCAAGTTTGCATAGTATCTCGATGATATTCGTTTAAAGCCTCTCAATGTGCTCTACATTCAACTTGTTGGAGCATATATCTCTAAAGAAATGATTGATCTCCATTAGTGCATCTTATATTCCATTTGGCAATAAATCATGAAAAACTAATGGGATGAGTGTTTGCATAAACACGTGGCAATCATAACTCTTCAATCCATACAATCTGCAGTCCTTTATATTAACTAGCCTTGATATGTTCGATGCATGTTCATCTAGAAAACACAGACTCTTAAGCCATTTGTAGACTAACAGTTGTGTGTTTTTCTCTAACACGAAGATTGCTCTTGGTTTTGAGATCCGTGACTCATCATAAACCAACTCTTTATTTTTATGGTTACAGTATAAAGCTATATTCAATCTAACCTTAATGTTGTCCTTTTTCTTCCCCTTCACATCCATGACGGTATTAAAAATATTCTCAAACATGTTCTTTTCAATGTGCATGACGTCAAGTTTATGACAGAGCAAATTGGTCTTCCAATAAGGAAGCTCCCAAAAGATACTTCACTTTATCCATTTATGAGTTAAACTAAAACCAAGAAACTTTTGCTTACTTGATTGAAGGTCAAATACAATATCACCATACTCTAATACAACATCATGCAATTTTTCACTAGAAAGATGCGGGGATGCATCTTTTTCAACTTTGCCATAAAAAAATCTTTTTTGTTTTTTTTTGTATCTGTAATTAAGTGGCAAGATGGTGATAGTAAAAAAAAAAACTTTACTTTTATTTGCTAGCGTGAATGCCTTGTTGTTTTCCATGTAGTATGGACATGCTAATTTCCTATGCGTGCTCAAACCAGAAGGCATTCCTTAAGCTAGAAAATCGCCGATAGTCTATATTAAGGCCACCCTTATAAGGAAATTTTGTATCCTGAATATATCATAAGTTAAAGCTCTAGAGGACCACAACTGCGCCAACTCTTCATTTAACAATTAAAGACAAACATTTATATTCTGCCTCGGGCTGCTTGGACCAGGTATGACAGTAGATAAAAACATGAACTTTGGCCTCATACACATTCTCGTGGCAAGTTATAAATGGTAAGTATGACTGGCCAACAAGAATAAGGAGCAGCAAATGACCCAAATAGGTTGAATTAGTCTGTACACAATCCAAGACGCATATTCCTTGATTCAGCTGAAAAGTGAGGATGCACACTGCTAAAGATTTTCCACGCTTCACTATCAAAAGGATGCACCATCACTCCATCAACCGTATCATATGCTTGGTGCCATGTCATGTGCTCAGCAGTCCTTAGTGACATGAATAACCTTTACAGTTGAGGTGTGATTGGGAAGTATCTAAGTTTTTTATATGCCACTGGAGTCTTTCCCCTACTAGTTCTGGGTTTGTAATAGGAATGTCTGCATGTCATGCACTCAGTCATCTCAGCATTTTCAAGGTAGTATAACATGCAAAAGTTAGGGAATATGTCAATTTTCTGGAATCCTAAACCAAAGGGTTTCATCATGGACTTCGCAGTATAAAAGTTCTCTTTTAGCCTGTTCCCTTCAAGTAAAATGCTTCTCGCTCATTCAATAATTTTTTCATACCCGACCTCCTTAATCGGTGATCTGACTTGATGGTGAACACCTTTGCTACAGCCATCAATTTACTATGATTTGTACAACTATTCCATAATGGTTCATTTGAATCTTCCAACAAATCAAAAAACCTAGTTGTATCTGCATTAGGTTCTTCTTCTACGATTGAACATTGACTGACATTACCTTGATTTATTCTCATTGCATCTATAACCATATTTCTATAAGGATTAGTGTTGTCATTTGACGTTTCATGCACGTTGCTAGCATTAGAAGTTAACCCAACCACCATTTCTCTCATTCTCCTCTTATTAACAAATACTTCTCCATATGCATACCAACACTAGTAATTATCCATAAACCCTTTGTGTAGAAGATGCATCATTCTAACATTTAGATGCAAATACTTTTTATTTTGACACTTCTTGTATGGACACCCAATACTGCCTCTAGTAAAATTTTTGGAAATAGATGTTGCGAAATTAATAAAACCCTGAACCCCATTACAATAATCCATCCTTCGCAATCCATGGGGTGAATCTCGATACATCCATAAACGATCATCCATGACTTTTATTGAACCTCTATAAAATTATGATGACATCATATGTTAATTAACTAAGTTAGGTAAATAAACTTGCAAAAATATTAATTTACCTCAAGATTATCCAACAAATCAATCACAACTTCTCATAAATATTAAATATTTAATATCATTTATCAACGTCTATACAAATTAATATATATAAATGTATAGAAATTACCACTTCGCAATACCATTGATAAAACTTAAAATGGACCCATTAAGCAAGCTATTAATTATTTCAAAATAGCACATGTAATTCGGTAATTCCATAAAGTTTTAACAATTTACAAACAAATACAATCTTACAAAATCTAAAACAAGCCATAACAGGTATAAAATTATACATTCATATACTACAAGTTTGTTTGAGAAATAACAATAAAACATGTACATCTATTAATAATATACATATACTAGAAAAACAATAAAATTGATATTTAAATGTTAAAATTTAAAAATATAGAATTGCTTATAAAAATAAATAAATTTTTTCAGTAAATCAGAATACGAATGCTGTGACCACAAAATTTCAAGAAATATAACTTGTTGTGCTGAGATGAGGGAGATTTTTGTCTAGGGGGAGGGGGGCTGGTTGTTTGCAGATGGAGAGAGTTGAGATTAGAAAGAAAAAGGAGAAATAGGGGAGGAGAGGGTCGCCATAGAGGGCATATATTAACCTTTTCCAATGGTTTCACAGATGAAATAATCTGTTGGTGAGTCCGTCGAATATTCTAACAAAAAAATCAACACGTCACCGTACGGATTAGCCATTTCAAAACCCTCGATAATTCCATCAATATTTTATACGGTGAACTGGTCACATCATAATACGGAGCTGTTGTTTTGAATCTGTCGGTAAAAATCACCCTAAAAAACCTCCACGTCAGCGAATTGTTTTTTTTTTATTCTGAACTTTCTGCCCGTAATTCAGTCAGTAACTACTGATGGACATTTTCCATTAGTAGTTACCAACTGAAGTATAGATAGAAAAATTTTTGTCGGTAAGTTCGACCTCAAATTACCGACATAAATATTTCGTCAGTAAATCCATTGCTATTAAGCAAATTTCTAGTAGTTTATATCCTATACATTTTTATTTATATAATAATAATAATATTATAATAATAATAATTTGTAGATTGAATATATATTTTTTATTTTATTTAGAAACATCTAAAAATATAATTAGAAATGTTTCAGCTTCAAAATCTTGTTAGTATACTTTTAATTATATTTTTTTAATGTAACAAATAATAGCTTATCTCTTTGCTAAAGAGAAAAAAATAAAATTTAATGATGATATATGAAAATTATATCTAATATTGAGGGTTTTATTATTGAGAATTAATAATATAAACTCCACTTGTAGATATTTGTAATATATATAATTTGCTTTAACTCAACTTGATATATCAATTGCTGGGATTAAAAAAAAACTTTATAAATGCATTACGCTATTCCACCTATCACAAAAAATAAATAAATTATACTGATGACTTTTAAGTCTTGGAGGCGGCGGTGCTTGCTGCACAGCTGTCCATACAAATACTTGTCAGCGTTCTCCTCACTCACAAACCATGCAGCACGAATGTTCGTAGTATTTAAATTTGCGCTACATATTCTCGTATACCAAATTTGCTTTACTCTTCAAATTGCGTTGGTAGCTCATAACAACTTCTTTTTTTGAAACTCCCTGACAGCGCAAACTAAAATCGCCTGAACAAGACAAAGGATGGATGGTGGGCAAATACTGCTTTCTTATATAAAAGTATGGGTGATCCTCCTTTTCCTCTCAGCTACGTTCCAGAACTCAAAACTTGCTGCCAAAAATGCTGAGCAGGATAAAAAAAGAAAGCTTGCTGCAGAAAACTCAGGTACTTCTGCTAGCTTTAAGACTAGAATACCGGTTCATCAAATTGCTGTAATTTGACTTGTGCTAAGAGTATTTTTCGCTTAGTTTCTCCTAGCCAAATTACTCACACCCTGCATGGTAAAAAATAAAAATAAAAAATGCTTAAGTTCTAAGTCTATACTAATTATTTGTATTATACATGCAACGCGTCCATGGTCGATTTTTTTTTTTCTAATTACTTGAAACTTTGAATTTGAGTTGTAAATAAATCATGGATTTGAATTTCATTCAAAATTAAATTTATTAAGTTGAATTATCATACATCTTTTGCCTTCATCTTCCAAGTGTACGTTGGTGGGATCATCTTCCAAGCTGCCTATTAGTTCTTTTCTGAGAGAGTTGGCCCATGTCTCTGAACTGCTATTAAAGCTAGTTCGTTTCCCAGAAATAGCTTGTGCATTAGTGTATTGACTATCTATTGACCCATGATTCTTGTGGGTTAGATTTTTTTTCATCATAAAAAATATGGAAGCTTTTTCAACACCCTTTTTAATATAAAACATCCTAATAGTAAACTGAAAATCTTATACATATAAAGTTGCATATATTAGAAAAACAAAATATTATTATTTTATGTGAAAACCAAGTAATTAAGAGCTAAATAATATTTATTTATAAATTAATTAAAATCTCAAAATTTATTTATGCAACATCCTAACAAATTAAAAATAAATATCAAAATTTTCCTTTAAACATTAAATTATAGCATCAAAATATTTTATTTGAAATGAATCCCTAGACAATCTCTAATCCACGAGAACAAGTTCAAATTAAAAATAATTATTTAACAATAAATAAATAAGTAAATACAATAAAATAATACAAATAAAATTTTCATGCTAAATTTATTTCATGTACCTCGAATTTATAAATTTTATATATTTTTGATATATTTTAGTCTTGATTTTAAAGATGTTATTTTTTATTGTTTGAATGAATTACTTGGTCTACTTATATATATGGTTGGAAAACTTGAGATATCCAGTTTTCAATCTTACTTGAATCACATCAAAATTATAACTAGTTTCAGATATATATCAAATAATACATAGATGTGTAATTTAATAAGATTTATTTAGTAATTTTAATTTTTTTAAATAATATGTTACTAAGCTCCGTTTAACTCAAAAAATAATAATTTTTTTTATAAAGTTTCAGTTTGACTAGATATATAATTTGAAAAATATTAATTAATAAATATTTAAAAATTAAATTTAAATAAATTTATAAAATCATATAAATTTACTGTATAAGTTAAGCTAAATTTTAATTTTACATATTAAATATCATAACATCGTATGATTTAATAAACTCTTGATGTGGTGGCACATAACAAAAGAACACAATTATGATTCTCACCTGCCATCTAAGCTGCGGTCAAATCTATTTATTGACAACTTCTGTCAACCAACCACTATATATTTATAATGCATGCTCGGGATTGACATGACAAATTGATATTTAAATATGACCAGTCTGAAGGAGTTGAAAGAAAAACAAAAAGGAAAAACTTAAATCATTTACTTAAAAATTTAGGTTGCATAGAAATTGGTGAAATATGATAAGTATGGTACGGGTTAAAATTTCTTAATTATTTTTTATTAAATAATTTTTTTTTAAATGTTAACTATTTGAAGTACAAGTTTCGTGTAACGCAAGCCTTACTCCATATTGATTTTTTCCAACTATGATATCGCAACGTAGCTGTTCAGACATAGATGGGTGTGCGTTTTCCTTCACGGGTGGGTAACTTGGTAGTACAATACAAGTTAATCGTTTTGATCTTTTTAATTTTTTTTAAAAGGTTAAAATAGATTGATCCTCGAGACTTGAGCCTTATATCGTGTTCAGTTTTACAAATATCATCTTGCGGCATAGTGGCTCAGACATAGGTGTGTTTGCGTTTTCCAATACAGGTAAATTTGAAGTACAAGTTAAGTATTTAAATTATTCTTGATAATGTGTTTGAATATTTAAAAATAATTTTAAGAGTATATTTAGATTAAAAAACTAATTTCATATTCTTAAATATTTTATAATGATGATGTTAAAAACATAAAATGAAAAAAGCATTGAATGTATAAATATATTTTTGAAAAAAAACACTTGTATCATGTTGTTATTGAGGTGCAAACCGTGTTTTTAAAATTTTTTAAATTTTTTTAATTAAAATTTAATATATTTTATATGTTTTGAATCGTTTTGATGTGCTGATGTCAAAAATAATTTATTTTTTTAAAAACTTATTAACATACATTTTGAAAAGTTATTTAAAAAATAACCACAGCCATATCAATAAATAAACTATAAATAAATTATTAAAAAAACTTTTAAACTCAAACAAGATATTCTTAGCTTTCATGTTAGATAAAAAAAAAATATGTTATTTACACTGTAAATCACATTGTTATTAACCCATGACAACTTCTCTTTAAAAACCCTTTGTTATCCAAACTAAAATTGTCTGAATAAGACTTACTCTATTTTTATATGAAAAAAATTCTATAAACATAATTATATATAAAAGTTTGTAGATTTAATTAAGAGATATGTAAGCCAGTTTAAATATCTTATTATAAAAAAACAAAAGTCTAGAATGGATGGTGGGCAGTTATAGCTTTTGCATACAAAAATATAAATTTTTAATTTTTATATATTTTTAATATATTTCAGTTTTGATTTTAAATATATTATTTTTTGTTATTTAAATGGATTATTAGACCTATGTGTATATATATATGGTTAAAAAACTTGAAATATCCTGATGTCAATCTTACTTGAATTACATTAAAATTCCAACTAGCTTTAGATATGTACTAAATAGTACATATATGTCTAATTTAATAAGATTTATTTAGTAATTTTAATTTTTTAAAATAATATGTTACTAAGTTATGTTTGATCCAAAAAATAATAATATATTTTTTAGAAAGTTTCTGCTTGATTAGATATATAATTTGAAAAATATTAATTAATAAATATTTAAAGACTAAATTTAAAATAAACTTATAAAATCATATATAAATTTACTGTATAAGTTAAGCTAAATTTTAATTTTACATGTTAAATATATATATTATATTTATAAAATCATATAATTTTATAAATAAACTCGTGATGTGGTGGAACGTAACAAAAGAACACAATTATGATACTCACTTGCCATCTAAGCTGCGGTCAAATCTATTTATTGACAACATCTGTCAACCAACCACTACATATTTATAATGCATGCTCGGGATTGTCATGACAAATTGATACTTAAACATGACCGGTCTGAAGGAGTTGAAAGAAAAATAAAAAGGAAAAACTTAAATCATTTACTTAAAAATTTAGGTTGCATAGAACTTGGTGAAATCATGACAAGTATGGTCCGGGTTAAAATTTATTAATTATTTTTTATTAAAATAATATTTTTTTAATTTTTAATTTTTTAATTTTTTAAAAGGTTAAAATAATTTCGTGTTCAGTTTTACAAATATGATCTTGCGGCATAGTACGTGGTTCAGACACAGGTGTGTTTGCGTTTTCCATTATAGGTAACTTTGAAGTACAGGTTAAGTATTTAAATTATTCTTGATAATGTGTTTGAATATTTAAAAATATTTTTAAAAGTATATTTAGATTAAAAAATTTATTTCATATTCTTAAATATTTTATTATGATGATGTTAAAACATAAAAAAATTATAAAAAAAGCATTAAATATATAAACATATTTTTGAAAAAATACATGTACCACATCATCTTTATTAAATAAATTATTAAAACTCAAACAACATACATATTTTTTATATTCTTAGCTTTCATGTTCGAGAAAAAAAAGAGAGAGTATGTTATTGACATTTCAAATCACCTTGTTATTATCCTATGACAAGTTCTCTTTAAAAACCCTTCGTTATCTAAACTAAAATGGCCTAACAAGACTTGTTTTGTTTTTGTGTGAAAAATTTATTGAATTTATTATAAAAAAAAAAGAAGAAGAAGAAGAGATAAATGCAAAGAGCATATCTCTAGAGGCAGGAGACTTAATTTATATAATAATACTCCCCCGTGAAGGAAGCTCGTGATTCCCCATTCTTGAATAGCCACTCCCTTTGCTTCATTTAATTATACATAGTTGATGGTGTTAAAAAATAATATAAATTATATTTTATAATTTTACCTAATAGTTTAAACTTTTAGGTAAGATAGTTTTTTGACATGGTATTAGAGTCTTGATGACCAAACGGTCACGAATTCAAATCTTATCATCCTTATTTATTTGATAAAAATTAAGCACTAGATAATATGAGTTTGTGCAAGTTTCAAGTCTAAAAGGGTTTTTTATTTAAGAAGATATGTTAGAGAATAATATAAATCATATCCTAAAAACTTACTTAATAACTTAAACTTTTAAATGAGATGGTTCTTTAACAGACGGGTCAATGTTGTTTAAGGCATGTTGAGTCCACTTAGTGCAAATATTTGAGTTGGCATGATTTGACTTCTTACGCGTTAGAAAGAATAAATATAAAATAAATTTGTTTTTAGAATAGTTTTAAAATGAACTTTTATATTTTTAAATCATAAAATACAAGAAAATGTATCTTATCTTTCTCCAACATCTTTTTTTTTCCTGAAATAGTGATTAAATGCTAGTGATTATTGTTAATACCCTAGAAATATCCTGCTTCCCCGTAAATCATCCAAAAAATGAAAAATAATTTCTTATAATTAAACTCATGAACGTATGGATCGATTGCTACTACATAAAGTTTCTGTTTCAAGTTCTTGGTCTGCATTTTTCTATAATTCCTTGCTCTTATTTTCTGTCCTGATCTCAAGGTGGTGCTTTAATATTTGGCTTATAAAGAAAAAAATGGTAATTAATACCAATATGTTGGAGATAATCAGTCTAATCGTTTAGTTTTCTCTTCTAACCAAAATTTTGAAGGTTTCGTCAGCATTGATTGTGGGGCGAAGGAAGATTATCTGGATGGGAATACTGGAATAACTTACAAAACCGACAAAGATTTCATTAGTACGGGCAAGAATACGGTAGTTGCACGAGAGCATTACTTGACGACTCTTTACTTCGGGGATATGGTGAATAGCTTGAGAACCTTTCCTGAAGGTAAAAGGAATTGTTATACATTGAAACCTAGACAGGGTAAGAACCAAAACTATTACGTCAGAGCTTTCTTCTACTATGGAAATTACGATTCTAAGAATCAAACTCAAATAAAGTTTGATCTATACCTCGGGGTAAACTATTGGGCAACAGTACAGCCTGTCAAAGATAGGCAGTGGCATTATTACAATATTATTCATTATTCAGTAACTGATACCATTTATGTGTGTCTCGTAAATACTGGTTTCGGAGTTCCTTTCATCAATGGATTGGATTTACGGTTCATGAATGATTCCCCGTATAGAAGTATGGATAGATCGTTGAGTCCTGTGGTGCAAGCTGACCTTGGCAGCCATCAAAGCCAAAACTCCATCATCAGGTGAATTATCCCTACTATCATTTTTAACTAAATCATGTGCAACATCGTGCATCAGATATGATAAAAATTCTCTTCATAGGTACCGTTTAAAAAAGCTTGAGAATTTAGTGAGCGTTTTTACAGTAATTTAAAAAAAAAATATAAGGAGGACGTTTATGTAAAATATACAATCTTTTGGATAAATATCTATAATTTCACTATATACCTTAGGGATATTGTATTTTGTTATCGTTTTTAAAATGATTATCATTTGTAGTCATTGAAAGATGTTTTTTTTTTTTTCTTGTTTCTTTACCACTTCTAAACCATGATTTTTTGGAGTTAGCTTTCTCAACCCTTATCTAGAATAAGAAGAAATAATGTTTTCTTATTTTATGTTTTCATCATACAACAGGTATATATATACAAACCTACATTTTCCTAACAGAAAAACTAATTACTTAAACCAAATATTGTAGGAATCCTGCAAATTATAGAAATTCTAATACAAGTTAACATTCCCCCTCAAATTGGTACATAGATATCGCACATGCCTAACTTGTCTAGAAACCTGGAGAATTTATTACTAGAAACTGTCTTTGTGAGAATATCTGCTACGTGGTCATCTCTTCTTATGGGACGAACCTCAGTTACTTTGCTATCTAGCTTTTCTTTAATAAAGAACTTATCAATCTCTACATGCTTGGTCCTATCATATTGCACTGGATTATGAGCAATATCACGAGTAGCTTTATTGTCACAAGATAACTTCATCGGTTGGCTGTGGTTGACCCCCACATCTTGTAATAGAAACTTAAGGCATAAGAGTTCTCATATACCGAGTGCCATGCTCTTAAATTCAGCTTCTACACTTGATCTTGAGACAACATTTTGTTTCTTACTTCTCCACGTTACTAGATTTCCTCCAACAAAGGTAAAATACCTGAATGTCAAACGCCTATCATCCGTGGATCCTACCCAGTCAGCATCTGTATAGCACTCAATTTTGAAATGCCCAATTTTTTAAAATAAAACTCCTTTATCAAGGCTTCCTTTCAAGTAACTAAATGTTCTCATAACTGCACTCATGTGTTGTTCTCTCAGATTGTGCATATATTAACTAATTACGCTCAAGGCATGAGCCAGATCTGGCCTAGTGTGACCCAAGTACATCAATCTTTCTACTAATTGTTGATACCTCCCTTTATCAATCGATCATTGGGTTCGATCAATACCCAACTTCATTCCTTTAGCCAACAGAGTGGATACCGGCTTGCACGCTGTCATACCAGTTTCTTTTAATAGGTCAAGAACATACTTTCTTTGCGATAGAAATATCCCATACTTGTACCTCGACACTCCAATCCCAAAAAAAATATTTTAAAGAACCAAGATCTTTTATTTCAAATTCTGTGGACAAAAGTTTTTCAAGGCTGATTGCTCAGCGGGACTGTTACCAGTAACTATCATATTATCCACATATACATGAGAGTTGTAACCTTTCCATCTCGGTATTTCAGGAATAACGTGTGATCCTAATTACTTTGTCTATACCCAAATGCGCTCATGGAGACTGCTTCAACCCATATAATGATTTGTTAAGTCTATATACCTTGTGTTTTTGTATGTCCAGATCACTCCATCTTGGTGGAAGGTCCATGCAAATCTCCTCAGTTAAATTTTCATGGAGGCATGTATTTTTTTACATCAAATTATTGTAAAGGCCAACCTAGATTTGCTGCTAAGGACATTAGAACACGAACTGTATTGATTTTTGCCACTGGTGCAAATGTATCAGTGTAGTCGATGCCATATTTCTATGTATATCCCTTTGCCATCAATCTTGCCTTAAAGTGATCTACTGTTCCATCTGCTTTGTATTTCACTGTATAGACCCATTTGCATCCCACAAATATCTTTCCAACTAGTAAGTTAGTTATTTCTCAGATTGCATTCTTCTTCAGTGATCTCAATTCTTCATTCATTGCATCTTTCTAACGGGAATCTGCTAAGGCCTCCTACACACTGTTAGGAATAGATACAGTAGATAATTAATATACAAATAACTTATTTGATTATGACAGGTGACTGGTAGACACATAATTGTTTAATAGGTATCTCATTTGATTCTGACAGGTGACTGGTAGACACATAATTGTTTAATGGGTATCTCACTCTTGAATCAGAATTTGGCTCACTCATGGAATACTTTTGTTTACACTTAAGATTTGCCTCGTAAATAGGTTTGGAATACCTTGATTAATACACTCTGAGGGTGATGGGGTGGAATTGCATCCGGTGTGGGAGACGATTGGAAGGAAAATCCCATGAAAATTGTTGTAGTTATCGCTCAGTTCTATTATAAGTAGTAAGCTACAGCTCATTATCAAGCCCTAACCTGATGGGACAAGTGGGCTATTATTCCTCGTGCAATGTTTGTTGCTCTTTAGTGAGCTTTTAAGTAGCTTGATCACTATAACATGTGGACTGCTGCTCTTCTTCAAGTGTTGCTTACTCTAGGTATGATGACTACACTAGTTGCTCTTCATGTAGCTCATTTCTAGCCATATGAGAGTAATCAAATGTCAAAACTTCAGTATTGGCTCGGGTCAGAACTTCACTACTTCGATACTCCTCTTGAAGTGAGGACGTGAAGGGTCTAAAAAGCATTTCATTCTCATGAAAATTCACATCCTATGTATTAAATATTTTTTTACTCAAAGAATGATAACAATGATATCCTTTCTAGGTAGTAGCATAGCCCAAAAAAAAACACAATGAATGACGCGAGGCTCAAGTTTATTATGTTGTTGAGGAGGATGCAAGTGAACAAAACCAACACACCCCACTACCTGTGGGGGAAGATTGAGAGTCGATGAACTGCTAATCTGAGATGTGAGAGCCTGAAATGGTGTATGGTAGTTAATAGTATGAGAAGAAAGATGATTAATAAGGTAAGCTACGGATATAGGCGTCTCTCCCTAATACTATATAATACTATAGAGGCAGATGTGCTGTAATGAGTGAAGCATGAACCATTTCTAATAGGTGTCTAATTTTTTGTTCAGCAACCCGATTCTGTTGAGTATACGGGCACGTGGTCTGATGAACAATACCATGCAGTTCCTAGAAGGAATGAAGTTCTAAATTAACATATTCACCACAATTGTCACTTCTAAGAACTTGGATCTTGATGTTGTATTGCACTATAATCATTTTATGAAACCTCTGAAAGGCTGAACTAACTTCGCCTTTTGATTTTAACAAAGTGACCTAATCATTCTGGTACAATTGTCAATAAAAGTAAAAAACCAGTGAGCACCACCAAAAGTAGCAATTTTTGACGATCCTCATACATCAGAATGCATAATCATAAAAAGAATGGTACTTTTATTGAAACTTGGAGGAAAAGAGGTTTGATGGCTCTTAGCCATTTCACAAACATCACACTTAAATTGGGAAACATCAGTCCTAACAAACAAACTAGGAAATAACTTGTATAGATAACTAAAAGAAGCATGCCCAAGACGTTTGTGCCACATTCAAATATCCAACACTTTATTAGTATTCATTTGAGACCTATAATTGTAAAGAGCTTGAATCAGCAAGCTAGAACTGTTGGTGGTCAATTCAAAGTAATAAAGTTTTTCTCTTTTAAGACCATAACCAATCGTCTTTTGTGTCCAAATATCCTTATAAACACAAAAATAGAGCCAACAAATAACCAAACAATGTAAAGTAAGGGTTACTTGAGCAATAGACAACAAATTATAGTTTAAAGAGGGAACCATAAGAACAATGTCAAGTTTCATAGTATTAGTAAGGGAAACAATGCTTTCCCCAATAACAAGGATGACATTACCATTAGCAACATTGACCTCGGTTTGGGCTGATGTTTTTAGTGATGGAACCTATCTAGAATCACAAGTCATATGTTCAGTAGCTCCGGAATCCATTATCCATGTATTATTCATAACAAAAGCAGAAGTACTTAGTGCCTTACCATGTCTACCTATTGCAGCAACCAGCAATCATAATAGATGCATTGTCTGCTATCTGGTTCAAATCCTTCCTGGTTTCTGCAATAGAGGCTCGTGACTTGTTGCATTGAGGATCATGCATTTTATCCCAATTCTTAGGATATCCAATCAACTCAAAACAACAACTCTTGGAGTGTCTTGGCAGGCCATAGTGTGGGCATTTTCCTTGGGGACAATCTTAGCTGGCTAGGCTGAGTTTGTCCTGGCCGGTTTTGTGACCATCCTCGGTTCGACCTAGAGGATGATCCATGGGTCTTTGCTGCCATGGCAGCGGGTTCACTCTTGTCAACCTCCATCTTCATTGCTTTCTTCTTATCAGCTTTATGACGAACATATGCATAAGAAGCTTAAAGGCCAAGTGGTGAATCCTTCCATAACACTTCTCCACGTACCTGATCAAACCTTTCATCAAGACCACCAAGAAATATATAGACTCGTTCTCTCTCAGTGGATTTCTAAAACATCTTGATGTCATTTTTGTTGGTGGGAGAAACCACTGGTGGTGGTTTTGAAACACTAAGAGGGGATAAAATACACTCTTTATTTCAAGAACAAAAGCTTATAAATAATTAAAACAAAAGCTTCAATGCACACCCTCTTTTTTTCTCTCATTCTCTTTGTGTTTCTCTCAATTTCACCACACATAATAACATAAACTCAACTATCTATTTATACACGAATTCAAAAAAAGAAAATTCAACCTTTAAATGTGAAGGCGGCTGTTGCCAACGATGTGAAAGCGCTTAGCGGCTGGACGGTTGGTTGGTGACAGCTGGTGGTTGCCTTGCTTGGTCTTTTAAATTGAGTTTACTTCAACAATTTTCACACTCCATGAGTACTCTATTAAAGTGATCCAATTCTTGGAAAATCTCAATTAACTCCCCAAAATATGTTGCCATAGGTTGGCTATTCTAACGAAGATGTGATGCCTTCTGATTCAACGAATAAATTATAGCCTCGTCATTCTCATCAAAGTAAGCTGTTTTAAGGGAATCTCAAATCTCCTTTGATGTAGGCAACCGAATGTACCGTTTCATAATCTCAGGCTTTATTAAAGACAAAAGCCAACTATTGATTTTTTTGATCTTAAGAGAACCAATCATCATATTTAGGATCGTCTTCGTGAGGTGCCTTGATCGACCCATGAAGATATCCCATCTTCTTCCTTCCAGCAATATGGATTTGAATGAGAGTAGCACATAAATCATAGTTTTTTTCATCCAAAACCATACCAATATTAAAGCTTGAATTTTCTGTCTGCACCTTGATTGGAGCAGCTGCTGGAGCATCCTGAGAATCAGCCCCTTTTCTTCAGCCATCTCTCTTACTATTGGTATAGCCTAAAACTTGCAATTTTGATAGATTATGGAACAATACAGACAGACTTACGAAGCAGGTTAGGGGCAGCAATAACTTCACAGTTGCTCGCTGAAACCAGCAGCAACAACTCTAAGTTGCTCGCTTCAATCTATATGACAGGAAGCAAAAAAATTTCGGGTTCAATGTTTTCTTTTCTATTCAAGCTCTAATACCAAGAAAAAATAATGCTTTTTTATTTTTGTTTTCGTCATACAACAGGTATATACAACCCTACTTTCCTAATAGAATAAGAAAAGACTAATTACTTCCTCAACTAGGAAACCAAATATGGTAGGAATCCTCCTAATACAAGTTAACAGAATCTTCCCCCAAGTCAATAATTCTGAAAGTAAATGTAATGCTTTTAGTTTTGGGCAGCAAGTTGACCAGTTGTTGGCGAGGGATAGCTAGCAAATCTCTTTCATTTATGTCAAATGATGTGTTTTTTCTTTTGTTTTTTCCCCTTAAGGATACATAAATTATTTTTAAATTATATACTTTACGTTGATAGATTGTTGATCATTATATCTTTATTGGTTGGTTTTTCTTCTCGTATGTAAATAGCTTTTTAATAGTGCTTAGAATCAATGAACATCAAGAAATAGGAATTTTGGAGGATGAGAATATCACAACTTTAGTTAATACTTGTGTTATTGTTTCTGACATGCATTCAGGTACAAAGATGACGTGTTCGATCGCATCTGGTGGCTTTACAATCTCACCGATTCAGTTTCAATCGGCACCGAAACAAATATTGATATCCAGGGCAGTACTAATGATCCATACCGTCTACCAGTCGAAGTCTTGAGAACGGCGGGTTG